TCTGCCAACTCACGCCAGGCTCTCTCAACGAGAATGAGAGAGAGAGAGAGAGAGAGAGAGAGAGAGAGAGAGAGAGAGAGAGAGAGAGAAGGAAAGAACCAAATGAAAAGAAATGTCGCGCTTACTACTTGGACTGGACTAATTACAAACCCGCCTATTTATATGAGGTAGCAGAGGACCCAGAGAAGTGGCCACTATGCTAAATCGATTGATCTGCCCCTCATTTGGCTCGAGTCTGCAAATAAAATTGGACGTGCTGACAGTCAATAAATCTTGAGATGAGGCTTCCCTCGTTAGGCGCGCGCTTGACGGCCCGGTGGTCTGTCAGCCGGCCAGCAGCGACGATCAGCGAGAGCCCAGCGAGAGCCCAGCGAGAGCCCAGCAAGAGCCCGTTAGAAAACTTTGTAGCTTGCTCGTTTCCCCTGAAACAGTCGCACGTGCGCGTACGTTTGCTGCCACGACTCTTTGGTCGTACTGTATAATCATCATAGGACTACCGCCGTACTCCCCTTAGAATTGCCCAGAACTCTCCGTTTTCTGACATTTCCAGCCGCTGGTCTTTACCTTCTTGCCTCACCTCCTCACCTCTGCATGCAAGCCAAGAGCCCCGCATCAATTTGCAAATCAGAAACCTTATTTATTATTTCGTCCAGCCAAACAGACCCTTTGTTCGTATAGGGTCACCATTGTTATATTGTGTTCTCCTTGATCGTAACATCTCTCTCCTCCTCCCTCCCCACTCCCTTCTCCTCTCCGTCCTCGCTCTCCCCGCTGCCCCTCTTCAGCAGAAAGCAAGCCCAACACCTGATGTTACCCGCGCGGCCCTGTTTGAAAATGTACATCGTTCACAAAGTCTCTGCTGCTCGCCCTGCTCAACCAGGTCCAGCCCATCTCGTCCCGCGAGCACGCAGCCCTTTCTCGGGAGGACTGGACAAGCCCTTCCTTGCTGTCATGCTCAGCCCCCCCTCCCCCCTCTACCGCCAGCCTACCACCGGCGGCAGCTCTCCGTGCTGCAACCACCATCAGGGCCGGCATGACTGAGAGCAACCATTAGGCGGCCGCACAACCACGGTCAGCGGAACGCTAACTGGCTAAACGCAGCGACACTGCTCGGCAGAGCAACAGATTGGCGCCGCTGGACACCGATGGCCCTGCTGCTCGCTCGGGCACGCGCTTTGTCGTACCATCCGGGTCTATAAAGAGTAGGAAAGCTTCGAGTGCGCGGTCCAGCTGAGGAGGAAGTTCATCAGCTGGGGCAGCGCGGCGGTGCGGAGGACGTCTAATGGAGGGCTCACTAGTCGCTAGAAGGTTTGGTCTCTTTTTTTCCCGCACTCTTGGCCGTCTCTCTCGCACCTGCCGGACATATCAGCGGGCTTAGTGTCGGGCACGCCTGCTCGATCCGGGGAAACGAGACGTTGGGGGGATGTTTTCACGCGCCGTTGATGTGTGCGACTCGGGGAATCGCGTCACATTGAGGCAAGGCAAAGGGCACAAGAAACAAAATACAGTGGAAATGCCAACGCGCACTGGCCATTATCTCACCGTATTCGTTTCAGTAAACGAGAGGAGACAAGTACAATGTAAGTACAGTGGACGACGTTGTTGGAGTCAACGGGAAGAAAGAAGTAAGCTGTAATGTGTGCATAGTGCAGCCAGCTGGGAAACCGTATTTTTACAATATTAACTTTTAGACAACGTTTATACATTCTCTAGCACACTGCAGTAACAAAAATACAACTATAAAGTGCACTGAGACCACAATTAATCTGGCTTCTAAATCAGATGAAATATCAAACCCCTAAAAGGTCCTCCCGTACTCAAAGAGATTCAACAAGAGTTTGAAAGGCAGCAGCGGGTTACAGACACAAAATCTAAGAAATGCAGGGATAATTAAAAAGAAAATGGAGAAGTTACTAAAATCTATCATTTTCTTCAGGAAATTAATTTGAGGAAGCCTTTTTTTCTGAAACCACACATTCAACTCATTACACAAACACATCTCATTGAAACTTACCTGTGGTCCTGTTATGGTGAAACACGTGGGGCTGGTAGAAGGCAGCCTGGCCCGCCCCCAGGCCCACCCCCACGCTCGCGCCCAGCCCCACCCCCGCCCGGGCCCAGGCGGCGGCCACGGCAGCCGCGGCACCGGGACCCTGAAGCGCGGTCGCTTGGGACGAGTACGCAGCCGCGGCCGCCGCCAGGGCGGAGAAGGGCGTGGGTCTAATAGGGCCCCGGGTAGCACCGGCTCCGTGCGACGAGGGTGTGGACGGCCGAGCGTCATCGCGAAAGTCCTCGACGTCCACCACACTCCCTTCAGTTCCCGAGTCACCATCGTCGTCGTCTTCTTCCTCGTCCGAGAAGCGGCCGTCCTGGTCGCCGCGAGGCCTCGCCGGTCGCGTATCAGCCAGCAGCGAGGCCACGCTGAAACTGATGCCGGGCCCGCGCGCGGACGTCGGCGCCGTGCGGCTGTCTTCGGCGGGGTCCTCCATGCTCCCCGCCATGATGGTCATGCTCCTGCCGGGTTCCTGGCGGCCCCGCGGCCGTCCGTCACATGGTCAGCGCGGTCCTGGTGCCCGGCGCGCCACGGGCGAGGCGTCCCGACCGGCTTGGAGCGGCCTGAGCGGCGCGGCGGCGGCGATCGCTCGGACCAGGCCTTTGTTTACCAACACCGACATAACCTAACCAGCGCGCGCGGGTCGGGCAGCGCGACTGTGAGACAGAGAGGGAGAGAACGGGCCGTGTGTGTGTGAAGACAAAACAACAGCGAGGAACATGGGCTTCCAGGAGGAGGAGGAGGAGCTGGTGCTGTGGGCGCTCCTCGAGGAGGTGGGGCCGAGAGAGAGGGGGAGAGAGAGGGAGGGGTGGAGAGAGGCCAGGAGGGACGCTCCGCGCTCCGCGAGGGCTTCAGCTCCAACGCCCGGCCGGCCGCACGAGAGGTCCGGTGCGGCTCGCCCGGCCGGCTGCCCGCGCAAGTGCGGCGCGGCGGGCGCGGCGGCCCCTGCCTCCCCTCCCACCGCGGGCGCATGGCAGGCAGCGCCGCGACGCTGGGGAGGGGGCGCCGGCCGCGGTGGGCGGGGCCTAAGCCACTCGCCCCCTCCACCAGCAAGGCGTCGGTCGCGTCGGCGCTCGCGCAAGGCTCGCACGTCGGCCGCGCAGCCGGCCGCATGTGCGGGCCTGGCCGCGGCCAGCGCAGCGCCGCAGCCGGGGCGAGCCTCCCGTCCCTCCCGTCCCGGCAGAGGGCGCGCGGAGCTGCCTGTGCCTTGCTGCGTGGCTGCGTAGCGCGGCCCGCCAGGTCCGAGACCCCTGGTCAAGTCATCCAGCGAGATGCGTCGCGACGCCGCGCTGGACAGGCTGACCGGGCCAGCGCGGCGACGAGATGGGCCGAATAAGTAGCGCTACAGAATGCGGGCCGGGCAGCGGGGCGTCGCGGAGCGGAGAGCCGACGAGAGAAACAGACCGCCAGGAGTTCCCCCC